AGACTTACCAGCTGGATGCAGCTGTATCAGAAATTGGATTGCTATCAGACGATATGCCTCCTTAAAAATTGGCTATTGGTATCATCCCCAAAAATCTCTATCAGTGCACCCCTATTTTAAACCACGGTTTATGCAGACACGCTGGAGCTCAGAGCATGATACAGGACTGTGCACTACTTTATAAATCATCCAAATGATTTAAGGCAGATCTACTTGTTAGCAGGGATCCAAAGTAAATCCCTCAAGACAGGAATAACATACTATTGCCACTTTCTCAGAGCTAGCCTTCTACTCAGCTGCACACTGAAGAAGCTGGTGCCCCTGGGAATATTCCAACACTTGGAAAAATTATAAACAACTAATGTAAAGAGTGTAAAAAGGCTAAACTTCAGACACATCAATGAAAACATGAAATAGCCTGAGAAGGGAAAACTTCAAAACCTAGGTAACACAAGAGATTTTGTACATTTGAAATATTTTATGGGTTAAAATAAACTGAAAGCATAGAAAATGCCTATAAAAGGGGTTGTCCCATGCAGCAGGCTGTCATACTGAGCCATGGAAAAGGCCCTTTTTGGTCCATACAACAGAATACCAATTACAATGGCTGAAAAGCGGCTCTTTAAATCAGAACTCGTGGCAGAGGTGGGATCTTTTATTAGAACAACTGGATATTTGCAAAAAAAGGCTTTATTTGCAAGCTTTCAGGCACAGGCACCCTTCTGCAGGCATAGGAGAGGACAAAGATTGTAAAAATTCTCTTAGGTAGAAATGAAAATTCATATTTCACATTTTCAATCATGCTTGCAAAATTCTGCCCGCCAACATTCTTATGCTAAAAAGCAATGAAAGGAAGTTTACCAGCATTACGGAAAAAATGAGGGGACAGGGGTTTTTTAAATCCAGCATGGCCAATATTACTGCGAATGTTTCCAAGGCTGCTTTGTATCAGTAGCACGAAATAACCTAAGGTAACCTTATCTGTTTGGATTATCCCTGAAGGGATAGTTTTGCATAAAACAACATTCAGTCTTCTTTCAAAGAAACCTCCATGGGGGTTCATCCTACCTCTGCAAATGAGTTAGCAAAACAAGAAAAGAGCAAAAACCCAACAATCCATATCCACTGCCAAGGCCTCTCTCTCAGAGGGGCTCAGCAGGGAGATCAGAGAAGTCTGAAGTATAACATTAAGAGCACGGCTACATATTTTTAAAGCACTCTTGACAGCAGAGTAATTGATAACAACCTCAGCAGTATATGAACAACTGGACATAAACAAAAGCTAAACTAACAAGAGAAACTGGATTCACCACACCAGCAGTAACATTACAAAATGTGAAAAGAATATTCAAATATAGAGGAATGCCACCTGGACAACAATACTTCAAACCTACATGATGCAATGTCTTTAATCCAGCAGCCCTATAAACACACTTGGAACCCCTCTGATTTCTATAGACCACCTTGCAGCTGCAGAAGTGCTGCCATGCAGTGCTCTTTTCAGGGACCATAGTAATAAAAGGTCCAACTCTGCTTGACACTGAGTGTCCTCAGATCCTCCAAAGCATTGAGGCTCCTGATCAGTCTAGTGTACCCCAGGGGCACATCAGTACCAGCAGGACTGGGCTAAGGTGCCCTTTAGAAATGCTACTCGCAATGAGAGAGCCTGAAAGAGCTGCTAACAAACTAAAAACGCACCCCATTTACCCCCTGTCCTACTTGATATGCAATCAAATCCAAGAAGTGTGCATGATTACTACAAAGCACATCTACATATGTGCAATATGCCAATACAGTCCAAATACATAGACACATACCACCCATACCCACAGTGCTGTTTTCTATCTGCAAACAATGCAGAAGGGTACATGGAGTCTTTCAGGATGATTGATATATATATATATATATATATATACATACACGTACATACACACACACATATACTGTATATACATACAAATATGCACATACTGTGTGTACATATGTATATCTATGTATACACACACATGCATATACAAGCTCAAATATATTTAAACACACAAGCTCAGTCATGTTTACACACACACAGTTGGTTATGTATACACACACGTGCTCAAAGTGTGTACATGTACACACACATACATACACACATATGCATGTTTTGTTTTGTGTTTTGAGCATGTATGTTTGGGTGCATATATGTATTGAGCATGTGTGTGTGTGCAGACACACACGCACATACTTTGACCATGTGTATATATATTTGAGCATGCATATATACCTTCAGCATGTGTGTGTGTATCTACACACATACATACACACATACAGTTTGAGCAAGTGTGTGTAAATATATTTGAGCACGTATATGCACGGATGTATATGCACACGCATGCATACTCAAAGTACATATATAACGCATGTAACCCCCCCCTCCCATCCGGTGCAAACCTCCCCTGCCTTCCGGGCCTGTCCATGCATTGCACGTAAACACTGGGGAGGCAGGCAATGGGCAGAGCCCCCCCGCCGCCCGCCGAGCCCGGAGGCTATGGCCCGGGCCAGCCCCCCCTGCCGGCCCAGGTGCGGGCCCCGCGGCGGGGAGCACCCCCCGGGCGGAGAAGGGGCTCACCTCCCCTGCAGAGCTGTGCGCGTCCCAGCCGGAGGTGGCCAGCATCCGGCCCATCAGACCCCCATGCCGGGGGGCTCCGGGGGAGCCGAGGCTTGGCTGCTTGTTCTTAGTTTCCTGCTTGTTCCATGTTAGAGGAGGAGGAGGAGGTGGAGGCGGAGGCTGCTGCCCGCGGGCTTCATGTCTCCATGGCTGGTGCTGGGGAGGGAACTGGCTTGCAAGGGGGAGCCTGCCTGCTTGCAGCTGCCCCCGGGGCAGACAGGAGCCTCTGGGCTTGCGGGGAGAGGGGATTAAAAAAGAAAAAAAAAAGGGGAGGGGAGGGGGGATGGGAAACAAAAACAAGAGAGAGGCGGCAGCAGCGAGCCCTTCCCGGGGGGAGCAGGGGAGGGAAAGAAGGGCCGGCAGCGCCCGCTACCGCCGCCTCCCCGTGCGCCGAGGGGCCGCCCGGGAGGCGGCAACAACGGTCCCGCAACGCCCCTGCCCGCGCCCCCGCCCGCGCAGAAACGGGCAAGACGAGGGCTCGGGGGCCTCACCCGCTGCAGCGGTTGGACCAGGACCCATTTGTAAACATGGATGGCCAGCCCCCACCCAGCGCCCCTCACTCAGTCCTGAGCCGCGGCCCCCCGGGTGCTGGGCGGGGGGGGCCCAAGCAGCCCCTCGCAGGCTGGAGCTCTGTGAGCCCACGAGCGGAAAGCCACGGTTTCCCACGTTTTTCTCCTTGAAAGGAGAATCCATTTTTCAAGTTTGTTGATCCTTTCTTTATTCGAGTAAATCGTTGGGGGGAAAAACCTTTTATTCAACTGTGAGTTGGTTTGATTAAAAAATACCAGATTTCCCCAAAGAACCTTGTCTGCCTATGTCTTCAGACCAACACAGCTACAACCTACACCCTTGCCTCATTTTTAAATAGCATTTGTGACCCTTTCATATGTTCGTGCAACTCACTTTTAGGTCATGACCCATGTGTTGAGAAACGCTGATCTAGTCCAACCCCTGCTCAAACCAGGACCAGCCCCAACTACATCCCTTTGTGTCCCCAACACCCCCAAGGATGGAGACTCCACCACCTGCCCCGTAGCCTGTGCCAGGGCTTTGCTGCTCTCCTAGTGAGGGAGTGTTTCTTAATATCCAACCTAAACTTCCCTTGCTGCAACTTAAGACCATTGCTCCTTGTGCTGTCACCTGCCACCACAGGGCTTGTGCCCTGGCCTGTCCACAGCTTTCAGGAGGAACGTGTGGGGTTGTAAAAAACAGTAACTTTTTTCCAAGTATTTAGTCAGTCTAATAAAAGATATCACCTCTACCCAGAGAACCTTGTCGGCCTATGTGTAGGGTCCTGCATTAGTTAGTGAGTGGGAGGGTGTCCCCAGCCAGACACTGCAGTGGCAGGTGTGCGGAGATGAAGTGCCCTTAGTCTGGGTGCCCCAAGTCACGGGTGGCTTCTGAGAGCAGGCCGCAGGGTGTCAGTGCTGCAGCCCAAGCTGTGGGTGCTGGGTCTTTATGTGTGCGTGTGTACACATGCATGCATACATAGATATAGGTATGTATTGCACATGTCCCTGGCCTGTCACGAGTCCTCTGTGGCCATAGACCTGCACCTCACTTGTGTACCACAGTGTGCACATGTGTGGTTATGTTATAAAGGGGGGCAAATTGTATGCACATGCTGCTACTTCGGGGAGCCAAGCCTAGCATCTAGCCCAGTGGCTCCTAGGAACTACCACAGCAATGATGATTATCACTTAGGAGTAGTAGTAGTATCATCATCATCAGGTTATTGTTGTTACTATTATGATGTTATCACTGCTATTATTACTATTATTGCTGTATCATGCTATTGTTATTATTGTATTGTTATTGCTGTTATTACTGTTATTGTTACTGCTGCTGTTAGTATCATCATCGCTGTTATTATTTTGTTGTTTTTGCTGCTGTTATTGTTATTATTTTGTTATTGCGGTTATTATTATTACTATTATTATTTTGTTGTGAGGAGGCAGCCAGTAGTGACATCTCTATGGTTGTGCAAAATATTTGGCAGGCACCGGATTGAAATGGGCCAGCCCACCTTGACCATCATGGTGCTGGTAGTTTTACTTAGCAAAGTACATTCACTTCTCAGCAAAACAGATGACTTGATGAAGCAGAGTAGATAACAAAAATTTGCAAGGCTTATTTCCACAAAGGATCCCACAGCTGCAGCAGCGTATGGCATCTGTGTCATAGAACAACGTGATTCAGGATGACAGGAGTTCTGTTTTTTTCTTCCAGTCTTCTGTGCAGGACCTATGCTGTAGGTTGTGGGATAGGGACTTGGTTTTCCTCTTGCTGTTTTGCGGAAGGATCAGACCTAGGTGCCTGCAGAAACTGTGCTGCGACTTATTCATCCCTCCCCCTTTGCCCTTCCCCCTCCTCCAGCCTCACTGCGCATGCTGTCAGCTGGAGGAGGCAAAGAAAGAAAACAAGAGAGAGAGATAGAGGAGCTGGAGGGAAGGGGAGGCTGAGGAGGAGCAGGCTGCAGTGATAGAAGGAACATAAGGAAGGAGGTGGAGATGGTGGGGGACTACAGGACAGGGCTCCCTAGACAGAACCATCTCAGCTTCAGGCAGTCTGATCTCGCTCACTGCCTAGGAAATGTTGGGAGATGTCCAACTGCCGCCTCACCATTACCTTCTTCCTAAACCTAATCCCCCTCCTACTAGTTTTTAAATTGTGCTTTTTTTTGTTTTCAGATGTTTATGCCCTTTGAGGAAAAAGGAGAAATCTGCCACAGTTCCTACAGCAAGACTCATGGCAGTAAGAGGAACAGTAGAGGGAGAACTCAGGATTTGTTTGTATAAGTTCATCTCTTTCCCCCAATGCACATTCATGCAAGAGTGCCATGGCAGAGGTTAAGGTGTCTTGCTACAGCTCCTGTGGGGTGATTTGAAATTTGCTCTACGCTCAGGCAAAAGGCCTTCCAGCTGTAAACAGGCATCTGGTCATTCAAGATGGAGTCAAAGGCAACTGTTTTGTGTACTACTGGCTACAGAAGCAGGCATGCTTTAACCACAGTAGCCCAATGAGTCACTAGACTCAGGTGGGCCTTGGACCATTTTGATATGCACACACAAATGCACACCTTGCTCAGCATTACATTCATTTTCCAAGATAGCTAATGACCCAAATTCCATTCAGGTCACTAGAATTATACCAGGGAGTGAATTTGTCTTGATGTGTTTACCAACACAGCTTAGGCAGTTTAAGGTAAGGCATTAAGAAAAGGCCTGTCTAATACAGAACAGAAATTGCCTGCAGTCACCCAAAGATTTTCCCCAGAAGAAATGATACTCTGTTGGTACATATAGCCCTGCACTAATGGAAATGGTTAGTTCCAGGATTAAGGAATATTTTGACTCTCTCTTCTACAGGTGTAGGTATTTTATGATGTGCTATTTAAAATAATGCAAGCTGTGTATGAGGTAGTTACCTTGCCACCACATTGGCACACCTACAGCAGGAGTGTTAAGTTAGGAATAAGTTAGCCTGTCATAGTCTGCTGTCCTTCTAACACCTATGTAGGGGCAAAGACTCAAATTCCTTCCTTCCAGTGACATACAAGTGGCAAACAGGAGTTCCTTTGTTCCCTGATCTATTTGCTATCTTCCTCCTTCACTTCCTCCTCATCAGAGACCTTCATTTTGTGGTCTCACTCAAAGGACACTCGCTAATGAGAGAACATTTCAGGTGTTCTCTCTCAGACATGGACCTCTCATGACCAATATCCAAATTAGTATGAAAGCCTCACTGAGATGGTTTCTTGTGTTCAATTTTCTTTACACAGGTTAGAGTGAAGAACAGGTAGAGGAGTGGGAACAGAAAGGGTCATATTTCACTCACTGAAACATCCCTGGTATGGTGGTCAGCTCTTTTTACTTTGCTCTCTCTCATCTGCAATCCCCTTCTCTTTATTTTCATTTTCTCATATCACCCCTTGATGCCATTGGCCAAGCCTGTGAAAATTTACCAGTATTCAGCCAGGTTATAAGCATTCAATAAAACTTCATACAGATGCTCAGTAGAAACCAGTCAGTGTTTAGCAGCAATATTCACCACAGATTCCACCTGCGCTGAGCATGCTGCAGATTGGAGCTACAGGGACTGAGTAGGACCCTCTCTGCTCTTGTTCATCGCAGCTGCCAAACCTACCTGGGCACAGACCATAGGAACTGAGGCTAGGGCAGCTGTCTTATGTGCTTTAAGAGTTCCTGCTGCTGGTTCCCTGGGACCATAGAGGAAAACAAAGAAAAATCCTTATTCAGATGCAAAGACATAAAAAGTAGACAATTAGGAGCTATGGGGCGGAAAGGCAGGCCCAAAGAAGAGAGGGAAGGTGGGACGGACAGGGGAAGGGAAGGGCAGGAGCTGGTACATGCACTAGACATGAGGAAGAGCAGAGACAGCAACAGGGTGTTGATAGGAACAGAGAGGTACAGAGGAGAACAAAAAGGGGGTATAATCTATACCTACTACAGCATACGGTTCTGCAGAACCTGAAATTGAACTTAGGAGTCCTTAACCTCTGTACTCCTTTGTTGTCAGCAAAGAGCTATGAGACCTTCTAGCAAAGTATGTGCACCACGCACCCCTAATAGCTATTCCAGAGAGAAGATAAATGTTTACTACTTATATCAATTAGTCCATCAGATTAAGCATAGAGGACTGTGCAAGCCTCATTGTGATAAGACCTGACAAAGAATGTCTTGCATTTGGAAGCTTGTCTGACTCTATCCCAACTACATGGTTGGTCAATAAAAGGTATCACCCTAGAAAATTCTTACCTCTCTATTTAAAGGTCCAAATCTTGCTGGTGATGGCTCAAACTGGGGGTTGATATAATTCCATTTTATTATATTTCTGCTTTTTCAATCCATTTCTTTAATTAGGAAATCAATCAAAAACAAACAAACAAATAAAAAAAAAACCAACAACACTGAAAGCACATCTTTGGATTGTAAAGTACATTACTCAAAGTTTAGGAAATGTCAGAATTCAGATTACCTATACAACCTTGATTCATCTGTCTGCTGTGTATGCATTATGACAATTAAGCATGTGCTGGATCATTGATCACAGGATAGATGGTGTTTTAGGAATTAATCAGGAAGAAGGGGCAGAATGATTGGAGGAAGAGAAAGAAGGGGCCATTTGCCTCATTTATTGCAGAAGTTGGAAGAGGTGTACTGAATGAACCAGAGGATTAGAGGGTAGGAAAAAATGGTCTGATGGTTAAGATGGCTGAATGGAGACTTGGATTCTATTCCTGCCTCTCACAGAGTTCAGGTATGCAAGTCACTTACATTGTTGTTTCCAGAAGTGATCAGAAATGTTCTGTCCCTCATTTTCTGAGTGCCAAAGATAAGATATCCAGGGGCCAGATTTCCAGGAGCGGCAAGTGCTCACAACTGCAACCCAAATTAATGGAAACTACACTTTGAACATCTGAAGTGGTGTAAAATTGCAAAGTGCTCTGAAAATGAGGCAGACAGGGTCTCATGTTGGGCACCCAAAATAGTAGATTCTTTTGAGACTTTGGCCTAAATCAGGGGTTGGAAACATTTTGGGGTTTCAAAAATACCCATAACCTTGACTTGTGAGATGTTGGCGTGCCAGGGGCGAATGGCAGGAGAGCTGCAGGGGCCTGATCCTTGCTGTGGCAGTGCAGCCCTGGCGCCTTCCCTGTTATCTGCCCTGAGGCACGCGTGCCAAGCAAGATACTTTCACATGGCATGTTCTGTACCTGTGACTGGGGTTGCCTACCCCGGCCTAAATTGTTCTGTGCCTAAGTTTCTCATCTATAAAATAGGGATCATACAGTCCATGGCCTCGGGTGGGGAAAAAAGGCTAAGCGTTTACAGTTTGGATAAATGCATATTCCAGGTAAATGATTAGTGCTGGCTAAGTACACTGTGCTGTTAATGCTGTGGTATTAGCAGCTGTGAAACTACTAGAAAGCTTGAAAACGAGAAGAGCTCATCAGCTTTGGTGCTGCTAACATCACCATCCCTCTAGCCAGCATCATGTACAGAGCTGTCAATGCTGGGTATCAGCAATCCTAAAACCAACTCTTCCCTTCATTTTCAAGGCTTCAAATAATCAGTCTAAAAGCTGTCTATAACAAAGGTCAGACATCTACATCCCACTGGCCAGATCCAGCCCCTGGAGCCACTGGATCCACCTTTAGAGCCACAGCTTTGATGGCATTCAGTGGGTGGACACTTCATCTGTATTGCACTGCAGCCAGGCAGCTGGGCACTTCATAGAATCATAGAAAATTAGGGTTGGAAGGGACCTCAGGAGGTCATCTAGTGCAACCTTCTGTTCAAAGTAGGACCATCCCCAACTAGATCATCTGAGCCAAGGCTTTTTGTCACCACATCTTCAAAACCTCCAAGGATGGAGATTCCACAAGCTCACAGGGTAACTTGTTCCAATGTTTTAATACCCTCCTAATGAGAAAGTTTTTCCTGATATCCAACCTAAACTTCCCTTGCTGCAATTTGAGACCATTGCTCCTCGTTCTGTTATCTGCCACAGCCAAGAACAGTCTAGCTCCATCCTCTTTGGAGCCACCCTTCAGGTAATTGAAGGCTGCTATTAAATCCCCTTCAATCTTCTCTTCTGCAGACTAAATAAGCCCAGTTCCCTCAGCCTCTCCTCAGAAGTCATGTGCCCCAGCCCCCCTAACTATTTTTGCTGCCCTCAGCTGGATTCTCTCCCATTTGTCTACTTCCTTTCAGTAGAAGGTCCCAAAGCTAGACACAGTACTCCACATGTGGCTTCATCAGCACCAAATATAGGGGAAGAATCATTTCCCTTGATCTGCTGGGAACGCTCCTACTAATGCAGTTTAGTCTGCTGTTAGCCTTCTTTGCAGCAAGGGCACTCTGTTGACTCAATTCAGCTTATTGACCACTGTAACCCCCAGGTCCTTTTCTGCAGAGCTTCTGCTTAGTCATTCAGTCCCAGCCTCTACCAGTGCTATATTTCACCCATGCTGTGCTGAAACTGGGTGGCAGAAAGAAGTAGTGGCAGCCAAGTCCTAAAACCAGTCTTTTTTACTTGAGCTGGGTCGTTCTTGCCTACCGCAGAAGTTGCCAACTCCTGGACTATAATATTGTAAATGACAGGCAGTCTCAGGGCTGTTCCTACCATGGCACTATTAAGGAGCATTGTTAGCAGCTCTGTTAATGCTGTGGTATTAGCATTCCTGAAAATCATAGAATCATAGAAGTAGGGTTGGAAGGGACCTTGTAGATCTTCAAGTCCGACCCCCCACCTGGGCAGGAGAAAAGACTGGACTCATATGAGTCCAGCCAGGTAGTCATCAAGCCTCTTCTTAAAGATCCCCAGGGTAGGAGCCAGCACCACTTCCCTAGGAAGTTGGTTCCAGCTCCTAGCCGCCCTAACTGTGAAGTAGTTCTTGAGGATGTCTAATCTAAATGTACTCTCTAATAATTTGTGTCCATTGTTCCTTGTCATGCCAGGGGGCGCTAGGGGAAACAGTGTCTCCCCTAAACCCTTCTGGTCCCCCCTGTGAGTTTATAGACAGTCACCAGGTCCCCCCTCAGCCTTCTCTTGTGAAGGCTGAACAGGTTTAGGTCCCGCAGTCTTTCAATGTAGGGTCTGCCCTGTAGTCCCCGGATCATGCGGGTGGCCCTCCTCTGGACCCTTTCAATGTTGTCCACATCCCTCCTGAAATGGGGCGCACAGAACTGGAC